GCCCCCGGCACACACCGCACCGGCCTGGCTCGGGAACGCGGAAAACTTCCTCTTTCTTTTATATATATATATATATATACACACACATGTATGTATGTATGTACGGTGCAGCCGTGGAAGAAGGAGCGAAGTTTTCCACATTCCTGAACGGGACTGTAACTATATCTTGAGTATCTTTATCTGTAGCATTGTATCTAGAACTTGAGTATCTAGATCTTTGTATCTATATCTTGGGTATCTATATCTTTATCTTTGTATCTATATCTTGGGTATCTATATCTATATCTTAGCATCTATATCTTGGGTACTATATCTATATCCTTACATCTATATCTTGGGTATCTATATTTATATCCATATCTTGGGTATCTGTGTCTATAGCTATATCTTTGCATCTGTATCTTGGGTATCTATATCTACATCCTTACATCTATATCTTGGGTATCTATATTTATATCTATATCTTTGTATCTATATCTATATCTTTGCATCTATATCTTGGGTATCTATAGTTATATCTATATCTTAGCATCTATATCTTGGGTACTATATCTATATCCTTACATCTATATCTTGGGTATCTATATTTATATCCATATCTTGGGTATCTGTGTCTATAGCTATATCTTTGCATCTGTATCTTGGGTATCTATATCTACATCCTTACATCTATATCTTGGGTATCTATATTTATATCTATATCTTTGTATCTATATCTATATCTTTGCATCTATATCTTGGGTATCTATAGTTATATCTATATCTTAGCATCTATATCTTGGGTAGCTATATTTATATTTATATATTTGTATCTATATCTTGGGTATCTATATATCTTTGTATCTATATCTTGGGTACTATATCTATATCCTTACATCTGTATCTTGGGTATCTATATTTATATCTATTTCTTGGGTATCTATGTCTAGATCTATATCTTTGTATCTATATCTTAGCTTTTTGAATGATGGCTCCCTCAAATTACCCTTGATTTGTCCAGGGTCAGGGTGTTAACTTTGGATTCTGGCTGGTACTTTTCAGTGGGTCTGTAAAATCACAGGGTAAAATTCCTTGTCCCAGA